CTTCTTTGCAGGTGCAAGCGTTGGCTGACAACCTGGCCTCAACCTCTGCTCCTGGTGACTGACACAGGGCTAGCTCCATGCAGAACGCCCGGAAGAGCAATCGACGTCCAACGCACTTTGGATTTTTGGATGTAGTTTATGTAGGTTGGATATATATGAATATATAACATCATGGATATGATTGAATTAAATGCAAGGGGCCGACAAGGCTGCGGACGGCTTTGTTTGGATTGCAAAAGTTCTTCGTTCAAAGAATAAATGGACCCAAAACCTTCTCCAGACTTTGAGCAGCAAAGCTTGAAGTGTTTGAAGTCAGTGCCCAGGAAGGGGGGAAAATTGCCGACCATCGCCTCGCCTGAAGATACACCCGAGGTCCTTGTCAGGCCTCAAATGAAGTGCTGACATGCCAAAGCCTCTGGTGCACTTAGAATGTTCTGTCAGTCCATCCGGGGCATCGTGATCTTGGATCTTGGGCCTGCATGAGCAATGACCTTGAAGGATGCAAAGGTTGCCTGACAAAATCATGCAGCGTCGTTTCAAGAAAATTGGAATCCTCGCGCGTCATAGCTGGAAGTGTGGCAACCGTGGTGTTGAAAGTAAAGCGAGCGCGCTTTTTCATTCGCTTCTGATGCATTTGGGCTACTTGGTCCGCTGAGCCGAAACTCCAAGGAGCAAAGGCCTGCGAATTTGCCTAGGTGTGGTGTGCAAGATGCCATGTGCAGTTTCAAGACTCGAAATTTGTAGCCTTTACATCATGTATTTACATCCTGGAAAACAACCTTAAAGAAGCAAAGCCCGTGAGTCTCGAGACTGCTGAGCCTGCCTCCATGGCACCCTGAAGAAAACACAAAAAACTAGAGTAAGCGGTCTCGGAGCCCATGCAAACATGACAGCATTCAGTACTATGTTGAACGGGCATGAGCTCCTGCCTTGCCAGTTACAGCAGCTACAGCTGTACAAGTGGCAGTGTCCTCACAGTCAGGACTTGACATCCTAGAATTATGTTTGAAAGCTGAGGCATTTTCAGCAACCCCCTGGTCAGTCATCAATAAAGATCAACGGAATTGTAGCCTGCTGAGTCTCCAAGTTCGCAAAAACACCGACATGTTTCTTGACTCGAGCTGGCTCGTCTTCTCTGCATTGCTTTGGCTCGAGCTGTGGCTCGAGCTGAGATGTGAGTTCCGTCGCACACTGGGCAGCGTCTTGCTCGGGAACCGATGGGACGTGCTCACCGGACTGCGGCTGCAGCTGAAGCGGCTGAAGTTCCGAGACTTTCGGTCGTTTGGCTTTTCTGCTTGTTGCCGGTGTGGGTGGTCGACGTCCTCGCCAGCTCGAAGTGTCAATTGAAAGTATGCAGCTTTTACTTTTACAGATGCATGCTATTATTGCATGCTCACATGATGTGTGCACCACACTTAGACTTAGACAACTGAACAGCAAGGAACGTGTGTCAACAAGCTCCATGCATGCTCTCTCCTCTTCCAACCTTTACTTGGCCCATACAGACCTGAGGCAGGCTATCTGATGCAAATTGCCCCTGTCATCATTGACTGGAAACCTCTTACAATGGCCCGGTACTTCTCCGCTCAAACGTGTTCGAAGAAGTTTGTAGTTTGTAGGTAGGACACCCAGCAAGCAAAGTGCGTATGGGTTGATTTCCAACACTTCATGCCGTGGTATGCATGTCATGGTTGTGCGCGCAGGGGTTCAGAATTTGCTGGAACGTGAAATATGTTGTGCAGTCTTGCATGGCTTTGCAATAGAGGTGCAGTAGTCGCATTGCTATAACTGACTGTGCGGGTGCGACTGTTTGTGGGGTGTGTGGGTCTGCGTCTGGCTTTGCCTCCGCGTCTGTGGCGACGCATTTTCAGCATACTTCTGTCTGACAGTGATTCCACAAACTAAATCTCACTTTCCTAGTGATTGTGGTCACAGTCACCAAGCATGTGCATCAAGTGCATGAACGCTTCACCGTTGCCTTGTTGGCCACACAGGCCAATTCGGCGGCATCAATGTGGCCAGTCCACCGTTTCGATTGAAGACCGAACTTGCCTTCAGAACCTTCAATTTGTCGAGGGCACACTCCAAAAAGGAACACAAACCCAAGAAAAATGAAACAAACGCATTGTAAAGTTCAGGAAACCTCCTTTCTGCCAGGATCCATGCTACAGGGTTTTGGACCCTACTGATGCGCAGCTTGCATACTATCTTTTCATCTTTTCATACTATTTAATTACGGCCTACCAATTGCCCAGGCATTCCTCTGTGAGAGAACTGGAGCACGTGGTGCCTTGAGCAGCCAGAAAATCTGCACGTTCGTTGCCAGCGCACCCGGAATGGCCCTTCACATGAGTGAGGTAAAGCGGCCGCTGTTCCTCGCAAGGCAACACTGCTGACCTTTATAGTGCTTAAGTCACATCAAATGTCTCATCGAGGCAGTTCTTGTTTCTCTGTTGTCGGTTAGAAATCGTTGGAGGCCTGCACTTCCGTGTAAAGGGCCTGCAAGTGCTTGGCAAGCTCAACGTTCCTTCAGGCAGGATATGTTCAACATTTCATGGCATGGGTTTGTTGCTTGTGCTATAGCACGTGGAACCACACTCTCAGATCACTATCATGATAGCAGCAGTTCCAGTTCTCTGCTGATTTTGCCAGGGAACTTGTGGGCTTTGTTGCGACTTAGCACAATGTTGGCGGCATACCTTAGCACAAGGAGCAAAAATTACAAGAAAAAATAAGCTTTGGTGGTATCCCCAACAGCCGCAACGGTTTTTTTTTACGAATCTGAAGCGTGCTGCGAAGCCAAGCGCTGGAAACAACGCCTCCCAGACCTTCGCCAGAACCTTCTCCGGAACCTTCTCCGGAACCTTCTCCGGAAACCTGTTGAACCTAACCTGGCTCTGCACCAAAGCCTCCCACACCTTCTCCGGAACCTTCTCCGGGACCGTGTTGAACCTGACCTGGCTCTGCACCAAAGCCTCCCAGACCTTCTCCGGAACTTTCTCCGGAACCTCATTGAACCTGACCCGGCGCCTGCACCAGTGCACACCGGAGCTCTTCTGGGCTGAAGACCCCATTAGCTTACACTGTTGGGGAAAAATGCAAAATGTAAATGTAAATGTATGTATGTATGCAAGGAATTCGGATTTGATGTGAAAGCAGGCGGGACGTTTGAAGAGCTCAGGAATTGCAAAGTCTATGTGTGAGGTCACCTGCACACTTTCTGTATGGATGCCATGGTTTGCAGCCCAGTAGCTCTGAGTCGTAATGCAGAACAGCTGGGGTTCCCTTGTCCGGTGCTTCATCTCTAAGCCACAGCAAAGCCTGCAAAGACCACGTGACGACGTGCGCAAAAATACTTCATTGCCCTAGGGCCCCTGGGAACAGAATGAATTTGGGAAAGTGCCATGTGCCTTATCAGAATCATACTGCTCTGTGTCTCAAGACCTGCAGTACCTACTGGGCTTTCCCCCTGGCACTGCTTCCTTGCAAGCGACATCTGCAAATCATCTGCCATTCACAGTGTGGCTGTCCACAGCACAATTTGTCTAAGTGAAATGATGCTGCATGCGGATGCAGGCTGGCAGTCGGCCAGAGGAAACAGGAACAGCAACACAATCAGCACGAGAGCCGCGAACAGCGACAAGAGAGAGGCAGTAGCACAACCACAGCAAACAATGACAACAAGAGTCATCATAAAGTCATCATAAAATCATCATAAAATCCATGAAACACTTTCTTCCATAAAGATTGTGGCGTGAGAAATGAGTAAGGAGCCTAGGTCGACCTTTCGGCATCTTTTGACCAAGAGATCCAACCCGTGCCTCGCCCATAGCAGACAATTCCCCTGTATTGTTGGAGCCGCAAGTTGCACCCAAGCTCAGCCTGACGTGCACTTGCGAACACCACTGAAACATACTGAAACAACTGCACGAAGTGCACGACAAAGCTGTGGCATCTGTGCCATTGCTAAACGAGGCACGGAGAAGTGTCATCGGTGATGACCGGCCCGTAGAGTTCAGCAAAAGTAGTGAGCCTCTGTCTGCTGGTGCCAATATAAAGGAAAAGGCTAAAAACGGCTAAGGCTTACTAAGGTATGACAAGTGAAGCCTCCTGTGCTTTCTCGGTATTTTTTCTGCCCGGATTGTGCCTCTCACTGGATTGATACACTGCAACACCCCAACCTGCTGCAGGCAAGTGCCAAGGGATACAAATATTGAAGCTTGAAGTTGAAGTGTTTTGAAGCGTCGCTTCTCTAACGCCCTTCAGTTGCTGTAGGACATGTTGAGGATATGTTGTGTTTTGTGGCACCAGGCCTGCTGCTGTTGGCATCTTGCCCGCCTGCTTATTGGCCGGACAAGAGCCATCCACGAAGAGGTGCCAAGCACAGCCATCTGAAGGCAGGGCATTGTGGCTTCAAACCGCTTCACGTCTCATGGTCGCCATTAACATACATTAACCATATCATTAACCATATCATTAACATTCATGCTATAACATGATATAACATGATATAACCATGGCTTGTTTTTTTGACAGCTAATTAAAGCTCATTCACCTGTTGGGGAAGTGGAGCATGTTTTCGCTCATGCATCTTGAGAGGTGAGGCAATTCCACCGAAACTCTCCATTGCACGTGCCCAATGGGGCCCACCTGGCAGCTGCTCTGGAACATCTACTGCTTCTCCTAGCAGTTCCTGCGTGGAACAGTTTCCAGGTTGCATCTGGTTGTGCGATGCGTTGCAACATATCCTGGGTCACCAAATTCTGGCCTTGAGTGCCCGTTCTATTGCTGGAGCCTCGCCACCTTGCACTAGCACCTTGGCTCACAGGTGACTTTGTTTCGAAGGGCCACGCAACATAAATATACATAAGTCATGTCAAAGATTGCAGAAAAATGGGAAACTCGATGACTCGATGCATCCTCAGTCAAGTCAAGTTCATCCTCAACTCATGTCAACTCTCCAAACCACTCCTGGCACTGTTCCACGCGTCGCCCAAACATTCACGAAGGCTTTGAACTTGACCTGAGCTCCACGAACAACCATCTGCTTGCTTCCATTCATGGCTTGCACACACATAGGATCACACAATATCACACATATGCAAACGAACGCACTCAAATGCATTGAGTGCACACTAAGCTCGAATCATTCGAATCACTACCGCACTACTGCCCTCATTTCCCTGCAAGCGAGAAGCGCATTTGTGCTGATGCAACGCTCTTGGCAGCCTGCTCCAGGATGGGGCTTCGCCAAGGGATTTCAAGGCCTGCACATCTCTTGGTGTCACCTTTTTCAGCAATCTTCCTGGCTGTTTTTATGGAATGTTCTTGTACATGTAAGGCGGTTGTTGAAATCAATTCAGGTCAATCATTGGAAGTGTCGGGAGACGAGTACGCATGACATGCCATGACAATCCAAGACATACCTGCTGCTAGTATCTGCTAGTGCATTCGAAAATGAATGGAAGGACATGGGCCATAGGCCATCGGAGGACATCCAGAAATTCAGGATGCTTTTGTGTTCTTTCCATGCCAATATCCCAGCCTCCTCTACTTGCTCCACACTATATGGCTGTGCCAAACGACCCATCTCTCCAGAGGCAGGATGCACTTCGAAATGAAATCACTGATTCGTCTGATTCAATGTTTTAAGGCAAAAAGTCGTGCCTTTGTGATGACTGTTTCATTCGACTATTTTTGCCAATCCACTGCGCATTCCTGACATTCCTGGTGTCATAGTAAAAGAACGAAAAGATACGAAAAGCCACTGACGCTACTGACCAAACTTTCTAGGCCATGGGTGGCAATTTGAGGTCTCGAAGCTGCAGAGTAAGATAATAAAGCCGACAAATCTGGAAACTTGCTGGCTGTTGAGCGCATTATTACCTGCAGCATCAGCTTACCAATCTCCAAACAAGGATTTGAAGCATCTGTGCTAATTCTAGAAACTGTGTTCAATAAATTTAGCGGTTGTGACCATGAGAGAACCACCAACTGCAGCCATTTGAGGAGTCCGCTAGCAGAACCAGCAGCCACCTTTTTCGTCTGGCCTGACTGGCCTGACTGGCCTGACAAGAGGATAAGACATAGCAATACCTTTGACAAAACCCTTGCAGGCTCAACAGATCTTAGGAGCCATTACTGTAATGCGTCATCTGCAAGCAACATCGCCATCCATTGCCTTTGAAGCACGCATGCCTTGTTTGGCCTAGGGAAAATCGGAAATCAAAATGGGACCCATGAGATTGCTTTTTGCTCTGAATTTGGATCACTTTCCCTTGAGGAAAAACTAAGCAATGCACAGGGAACAAACTCAAGCCGTAAAGCTGAGCATTGGAACGCTTAGGTGTTGGAAAGCAATCCACAAAGGGAAAACATGTCTATGGGTCTGCTGGGTATAGCTACCTAGGTACATATAAATATGGCCGTGGAAGAGCGCAGGCAGCAAAATCCTACCTACGGTCGCGCGATTCCTTTTCGCTCTGGAGATGTTTGAAATGTGCTACTGGCAGTTCAACAAATCAAGACTTCCAACATAAACGTTTGCAGAAATTGACTTTCCTGGACACGGGCTGCTGGGTGAAACCTAGGTAACCAGCTGAGAGCCAAAGCATCACATGCCATGCCACAAACATGTTGCGGTTGTGAGGTTGGTTGCCTCAGAGGGTGAGAAGGACATCAGCTGACAGCAGTTGACAGCAGAGAAGAAATGTACCTCATCCAAACCACTAAAGTCACTAAAGCTACACTGTGCCGGGGAAAGCATGAATCATCAGAAGCACTTTGCAGATCTTTTCAGCTGAAAGCTCGATGTGGTACCACACTTTCCACAGTCAACTCTTCTCACGAATGCTACGGGTTGTGTTGCACGCACTGCAGCGCGGTGAGCAAAAATTGAGTGCCATCCGGTACAGCAACATCCACCTTTGCGTGCTACATCTATGCATATAATAACATATATAATACATAGTGTGTGTGTGTGTGTGCGTACATACGTATATACATAATATATACATATGTGCATGTAGCTTGAAGGGTAAACTTGCCAGGCAACAACTATTTTTTTGGACTCCGTGTGATCAAATTTAAACAAACACTTCCTTCCATCCCACAAAACGGCATTTTCACTTGCAATCAGGTCTTCTGCTGCAGGTCGTGCTTCACAAGCTCCGGATTCTGCTAAGATCTACGAAGTATTGGTATTCAACGCCGCCACCTGCGACACTGGCAAGTCAGTCTCCACTTTGCCCTTGCTTCTTTGCCAAGCAAAGTGGATGTATAGTGAACCAATCATGCTGCGAGCATCTGCAAGTTTCCTTTGTCTCTCTCTCCGTCCCTCTGTGTCTTTGAAATTCTTTCAATCTGCCCCACACTGAGACCAATTGAGACCAAGGCAAGTAGCGCATCGCAGGGATCCGTGGCTAACTCGATTTGGCTGAATTGGCCTCTTGAACAGTGACGCAGGAAAGCAGGAAACTGGGCCAACTGGGCCAACTGGGCCAACTGGGCCAACTGGGCCAAGTGTCTCAGGAGCGCACCGTCGAAATGGAAAAACCGCCACAAGTCCTGCACCTTGGCGTAATCTCAGGCCATGGCTCAGTCCCTTTTCAAACCAAAGAACGGTGTAAATGTATATATATATATGGACGCACAAACACAGACATATATATATATATGTGATTATGATGATGCTGAGGACGATGATAATGAGATAGAAAAGATAGATAAGATAGATAAGATAGGATAGGATAGAGAATATAGGATATGGGATATAGGATATAGGATACGATAAGATTAGATAAGATTAGACAAGATTAGATTGGATGGGATGAGGGATGAGGGATGAGGGATGAGGGATGAGGGATGAGGGATGAGGGATGAGGGATGAGGGATGAGGGATGAGGGGTGGGATGGGATAGGATAGGATAGGATAGGATAGGGTAGGGTAGGGTAGGGTAGGATAGATAAATAGGATAGATAGGATAGATAGGATAGATAGGATAGAGAGGATAGAGAGGATAGATAGGATAGAGAGGATAGAGAGGATAGAAAGGATAGAGAGGATAGAGAGGATAGAGAGGATAGATAGGATAGATAGGATAGAGATAGAGATAGAGATAGAGATAGAGATACATAGAGATACATAGAGATACATAGAGATACATAGAGATACATAGAGATACATAGGGATACATAGAGATACATAGAGATACATAGAGATACATAGGGATACATAGAGATACATAGAGATACATAGAGATACATAGAGATAGAGATAGGGATCTAAGATAGATAGACATAGAGATCTAAGACAGATAGACATAGAGATAGATAGATCGATCGATCGATCGATAGATAGATAGACAGATAGATAGATAGATAGAGAGATATGTAGGATAGATAGGATAGATAGGATAGATAGGATAGATTAGATAGATTAGATAGATTAGATAGATTAGATAGATTACATAGATTACATAGATTACATAGATTAGATAGATTAGATAGATTAGATAGATTAGATAGATTAGATAGATTAGATAGATTAGATAGATTAGATAGATTAGATAGATTAGATAGATTAGATAGATTAGATAGATTAGATAGATTAGGTAGATTAGATAGAATAGATAGATTAGATAGATTAGATAGATTAGATAGATTAGATAGATTAGATAGATTAGATAGATTAGATAGATTAGATAGATTAGATAGATTGGATAGAGTAGATAGAGTAGATAGATTAGATAGATAGATAGATTAGATAGATAGATAGATAGATAGATAGATAGATAGATAGATAGATAGATAGATAGATAGATAGATAGATAGAAAGATAGATAGATAGATGGATAGATAGATAGATAGATAGATAGAGATAGATAGAGATAGATAGATAGATAGATAGGTAGATAGGTAGATAGATAGATAGGGGTAGATAGATGGATAGATGGATAGATGGATAGATGGATAGATAGATGGATAGATAGACAGATAGAGATAGATAGAGATAGATAGAGATAGATAGAGAGAGATAGATAGATAGATAGATGGATAGATGGATAGATAGATAGATAGAGATAGATAGAGATAGATAGATAGATAGATAGGTAGATAGATAGATAGATAGATATGTGATTGATCAAGGTGTGCACAAGAGGCACAAATCGAGAAGTGTTATCACGGCATGAGCACTTGCCTTCATTTTGACTGATCGCCGCATCTCAAGACATCGATGTTGCATTCGCAGCAAAAGGCCCACTGCTTGCTTTTGCATTGCTTTGCTGATTACTGGTAGCGGAGCGTTTGAGGGCAGTTTTGGGTTTTAGGACCTAGGCTGCCTGCTGCATTCGATGCGGCGGTGGCGACTCCAGTCCCTGAGGACGAGTGGGTGACCACAGGACAAGACCCTTGGATGCCTCAGAACCAACAAGGTGGGCTAGGCGATGTGGGGAGTGGAGCACAGTTAAATGGGAATACTGTGCCCCCAACCTCAACAGAGCACCCCACCCAGCATGCGTCAACTGGGGCAAATAGAATGGGATCTATTCCAACAGTTTTGGGTCCACAGGGTGTAGCTGGAATGAATGGAGGGGCGCACCCCACCATGCAGCCACAGATGCCAGAACAAATGCACATGCCATCATCGCCACATGGATGTTTGGGTCATGGGGTTCCAGGGTTTCAACCACCGAATGTCAATGGGATGTATCCACCTTTTTCATCGACTATGGCAGCACATGCGATACCACATGTACATCCTTGTCCTCAACATTGGCATTCACAAGTACCCCATGGAGTTCCTCCCCAAGTATATCCACATGGACATACAGCTATGCCATGGGCAATGACCTCACCATGGCCCTGGCCTACAATGAACCCATTTTTACAGATGCCACAGATGCCCCACATGCCGACTCATGTCCCACCAACTGCACAACCGACAGCAGCCGATGTGCCAGGTACTTCAGCGAGCTTCGGATCATGGTCGAAGCCAGCGACTCCTCAGAAGGAGAAGCCTCCTAGTTCGCCTGGTGGAGATCCGCCGGAGCCAGGAGATGATGATGCTGATCTTCCAGAAGAGGTCGCCTCTGGTTCCTGCACTTCAGAGTTGCGGTCCATGTTGAACAAAAGGGTCAAGAAAGATCAGGAATGGACTAGGCCTAAGAGCAGTTTGGGATCAGTCCGCATAGAGGAGTATTGGGGAGATAGGTCAAGGTATCAAAAATGGAAACGGGCCATAGAGGCTCAGTAGCACTTGTATGGCCTGGAAGGAAGAGAGCTGAGTATGCTGGTGTATCTCAGCACAAGAAAGGAAGCAAGGGATGTGGTAGAACAACACCCCATCGCAGCTTACACCGGAGAAGGTGGCTTACAGCTGCTGTGGAAAGTCCTCGACGAGGCCTTCGGAGAAAGTGAGGCTGAACTGTTCGAACGGGCAGACAGAGAGTTGGAGCGATACCGAAGGCTGCCTGGGGAGACAATGGCGCACTTCTTGGCAGAGATGAGGAGACTCAGGGCTCAGTATTATAGGACTGACCCTGACACAAGAATCTCTGACAAAGCATGGGCGCAGAAGCTGCTTCAGAAAGCATCCTTGTCGAG